TATGGACTTTCCAGTTGGCATGGGCCGGTTGAGTAATCTCCGATCGTTATCTTATTTTATTGTGGGTAAGGAGAAAGGCCGTGGAATAGAGGAGTTGGGTGGCTTAAAGCATTTGAAAGGAAAAATATCTATTTATCATTTGGAGCATGTGAGAGATATAGAAGAAGCAAAGAAGGCAAAGTTAGCGGAGAAGACAAACATACGCAAACTAAAGTTTGAATGGGGGGAAGGCAGGTCAAGCGCCATAAACAACGACAGGGATGTCCTAGAAGGCCTTGCACCGCACTCTGAATTGGGAATTTTGAAGATTTGCAACTTTAGCAGTGATCAATTTCCATCGTGGATGATTAGTGGAAATTTGTTTTCTTCCTTGAAAAAATTAAGTATTGATAATGCAAAGAACCTAATTGAATGGACGGGAGCTGCAATATTTCCTCGCCTTGAGGAGCTGTTCCTGAGGAATTGTAATCAATTGAAAAGTGCTCCCACTCATTTTCCATGTCTCCAAAAGTTAACAATAGATTCCATGGATAGCGGCATGCCGATAGCTAATATAAGCACTCAGCTCACCACTCTTACTCATCTCACAATAAAGGAGATGGAGGAACTTGCTTCTCTGCCGGAAGGGATGTTAAAGAAGAACAAAAATCTTTCATATTTGGAGATAAGGAGCTGTCCAGATTTAACTTGTATTGCTGCGGATGTATTTGGTTGTTGTGCATCTCTCGAGTCATTGAGTATTTATGGGTGTCCTAATCTTAGGACTTTGCCTGATGGGCTACACACTCTGCTCTCCCTTAAGGAGTTGATTATAAGGTATTGTGACAGTCTGGAGTGCATCCCAGTTACACAGGGTCACGCATCTCTCTGCAAATTTCCTATTTTCAAGTGTCTTGAGTTATGTATTCTACCTGAGGGGCTAGAATGTTGCACCTCTCTTCGAAGGTTGATAATAGACAAATGCTCCAAAATAACATCCATTTCAATCACACACGGCCTCCCATCCCTCTGCGAATTACAGATTTCAAATTGTGATGAATTATCAAGCCTACCGAGTGGGTTACAACATTGTACTTCTCTTGAGCACTTGTCTATTTTCTTTTGCCGGAATCTTGAAGCTATTCCAATCACACACGGCCTCCCATCCCTCCGCCAATTAGAGATTTCATATTGTGATGAATTTTCAAGCCTACCGAATGGGTTACAACATTGTACCTCTCTTGAGCACTTGTCTATTACCTATTGCCCGAATCTAGAAGCTATTCCAAGTTTAGACAGCCTCACACAACTCCGTCAGTTGGAGATCTATAACTGTGATGGATTAAAAGGTGTACCCCTTACTAGTGCGTTTGCAGCATCCCTCACCCTCTTAAAGGAATTGAAAATTGGTGGGTTTTGGAAGGAGCTCAATTCATTTCCTGCTTTTCAGGTTATTCCACAACTTAAAACATTAACCTTGCGGGGTTGGCCGAAGCTCAAGTCTCTCCCTGAACAAGTTCAACACTTCTCTTCTCTAACTTATTTGTCAATAAGGTCCTTTGACAGCATGGAGGCTCTTCCAAAGTGGTTGGGAAATCTTGCATCCCTTGAGCACCTAGAAATATGGTGGTGCAATAGTCTGATGTATCTACCTCGACTTGAAGCATTAAGCCTGATAAGGATTATAAATTGTCCTCTTCTGAAAGAGAGATGCAATAAACACAGTGGCCCAGAATGGCCCAAAATTTCCCATATTCCAAACATCTATGGTAAGTTTTTCAATTTTATTATTTGTTTTCTTTGGTTCTGAAATCAATTATTTTCTTCTCTTTACTATTTTTTTAATATAAAAAACCTCCTTTTTGTGAATTGGGGACTTAAGCCCGAACAGAACTAGACAAACTTACATCTGGGACTACTGGGCCTACTAGAGAAGCCCTATCTAACTTAGTGTTCATTTTAACTTGATTGTATTTTGTTTAGTACATTTTAAAATTTTTGGTTTACCTTCCCTTTGACTTGTTTAATAATGTAAACCGCTAAGAAAAAATGTTTGTGCGATTTGTTCTCACTTATCATTAATTAGGTTGTTATCTTCTATTCGCATTTTAGTTTAATCAGTCCATTCGTTCACACCATATAGAACTCAGGGATGATTTATAACTCCACATGTAAATTCAAGGTTCCAAGGGATCAAATAATGTGTAAGTTTCTAACATATTTATTTTCTAAACCTCTGCAGTTGACGGTTGGATTCAGGTGTACATTGACACTTCTAAAGGTACCACTTTTCTTTCTAAATCATCTCTACAAAGAATATTAACTCTGTTTGCCAATGCCCATCATTTTTTCTTTCCACAAGCAGCATTGACCAAAGTTGTTTTTGATCATTTTTTCTTTCCACTGCAGATTGAAGAAGCTATGTTTCTGGAAAATTAATTTCATTGTAATTATAAGGTACAAGCAATTCCCAATTGTCAGTGCATTATTATACTTGTACTCTTCCCCAGCCTTGTTGTATCTTTTCCTTATCAGCTTATGCAGCGGCATCTATTAGATTAGAGTCTGTACTTTTTCTTTATACAGCTTCTGCTTTTGCTTCGTATCATCAATCAAAGATTAATTTTCTAATAATGTGTAAGTTTCTAACATATTTATTTTCTAAACCTCTGCAGTTGACGGTTGGATTCAGGTGTACATTGACACTTCTAAAGGTACCACTTTTCTTTCTAAATCATCTCTACAAAGAATATTAACTCTGTTTGCCAATGCCCATCATTTTTTCTTTCCACAAGCAGCATTGACCAAAGTTGTTTTTGATCATTTTTTCTTTCCACTGCAGATTGAAGAAGCTATGTTTCTGGAAAATTAATTTCATTGTAATTATAAGGTACAAGCAATTCCCAATTGTCAGTGCATTATTATACTTGTACTCTTCCCCAGCCTTGTTGTATCTTTTCCTTATCAGCTTATGCAGCGGCATCTATTAGATTAGAGTCTGTACTTTTTCTTTATACAGCTTCTGCTTTTGCTTCGTATCATCAATCAAAGATTAATTTTCTAATAATGTGTAAGTTTCTAACATATTTATTTTCTAAACCTCTGCAGTTGACGGTTGGATTCAGGTGTACATTGACACTTCTAAAGGTACCACTTTTCTTTCTAAATCATCTCTACAAAGAATATTAACTCTGTTTGCCAATGCCTATAATTTTTTCTAAACCAAAGTTGTTTTTGATCAGTTGGTTGAGAGACAGGTGTTGATCATGGGGTGCAGATTGAAGAAGCTATGTTTCATTATAAGTATAAGGTATTCTTCCCCAGCCTCTGTTGTACCTTTTCCTTTATCAGTTTACGCACGATGTTGCTTATGCAGGGCATCTATTGTTACTTTGATGATTTGTTTTTATCATTTTGAGGATTTTCTAATGTGTTTTTGTAAAATCTAGTCAACCTTTTTTCCAAATTTTAGCTAAGCTTGCATTTATTTTCAAGGCTTTTTTCTTATTATTTGTTGTTTTTTTACTTCACCAAAATAACAGAGTAGGACTGTCTTGACAATTACTAGGAGTTGTTTGCAATAATATTAATTGGTAAAGAACGATCTTCATCTTAGGCCCTCCCTCTTAACCATTTCAGTACACTACCAAACTGAATAAAACTTGAAGTTAGATTAAACTTGAAGTTGAACATTCTTGGCTAATTGAAGGAGTTGGTTATAAAAGATTGCACAAGTCTGGAGTCTATTACAATCACACACGGCCTTCCATCCCTCCGCGAATTAGATATTAGATGTTGTCCTCAATTGTCAAGCCTACCGAGTGGATTGGAATATTGTACCTCTCTTCAGAAGTTGATACTAGACAACTGCATGAGATTAGAACTCAGGGATGATCTATAAGTAATAATAATAATAATAAATCTTGTTTTATAACTCCTCTGTAAATTCAAGGTTCCAGGTTATCAATATCAAATAACGCGTAAGTGCCTAACATATTTAATTTCTAAATCTCTGCAGTTGACGGTGTGATAAGGTCCTAACCATATTCGATATTTGTGAACTTGGATGGAACCAAAACTCAAATGGATTTATGTTCCAAAGTATCCCGAAATGCGAAATGGTTCAAAGTAGTGTGCATTGTTGTTGTGAAATTTATTCAAGTAAGTCCATTAACCAAACATTCTGAGCTAATTTTCTAGTATGGTTGGGTTTAGTTCTCATATTAATACCACGTCTTCATTCAAATTGTGTCAGCTAAAATCTGGTCAGCAAGTGATTAAAGCAAAATCTCAGATTTTCAGTGGGCAACCATATTTCGGCACAGCTATTCAATCAGTTGTGGCAGTTTTTCAATGAGCTCAACGCTTTTCAATTATTTTGGTTTGGAAATCATTGCTAGCTTGGAAGGTGCTGCCAGGAAAGCTTTAAACAGCTTTGCAGCTTAAAGGTATATATGCATAGCCGGCCTTAGCTTGTTTCGTGTTGCTTTTTTTGTCCCGATAAAATTAAATTTGCACTTGTTGTTTGGAAACAGGCTCATTAATGTTGCTTCTTCATTGTCTTTCCAATCTGTAACTTCATGTTTTTTGGGAGATTCAGTTTTATGGGACAATTCTTTGTCAAGAATCTGCTCAAGCAAAACTTCGACAAGGCAGGCAGGATTTTAAGTTGTATCTTAGGAGTTTCTCTTTTGGCACACTTTCTCCCTAGGTTTTGTGGCCTTGCTCATATGGGGAACGATTATGATGGTGTTTTAGAGTGCGATGATCTCAATTTAGAATGGGTTTATTTGGAATAATGACCTTTTGTTTTCTTTGGTTCTAGTTACGGCTTTGTCAATTTCTTCTCATTTTGGTTTGGCAATCTTGGATTGTTATGAACATGGTACATTACATATTTTCTATTTATTTGATTGGATGACGACCAAACAATTTTAGATGTTGTTGAATTTTGGTGAGGATGAATGTTGAAATCAGATTTTTTTTAAAAAGTTGGTTCAAATAATTAGACCAAATAGTGTGATATTTACCTCTCGTCTGGCAAGGCACTTTGTAATAACATTGGCTGCTGATGGCTAGAAGGAGTGCTTCTCAAAGTTTCTAAGATTTTCTTACAGAAAAAGTAGGACTTTTGATCTATAAGTTGCTTCCACCGCATTCTAGGCAGGTCTTAAGATAATAGAATTGTACATGGACTGGAGGGTTTCCGGCGAGACTGGAAGCTTTCTTTTGAACAGGATACCGTTGCCATAATCACACTGTGATGATGATCATGATATGATTCATCCCCTTTGCTGCACGCCAAGTGGTTATACAATTTTAAAAACATTTAAAACCAACAAAAGTCCTTCTTTTCCCGTTTTACTCTCACACTGTTAATGCATTAATTGTCTCACTTACTTCTGCCCTTGCACTTCTCTTCAGCATCGTTTCTCATTTTACTTTCTCATACCATCTTCCAGAAAGTTATTCTTTTACCAGACAAATAATAAAACGGGCTTTTTAGTAACACTGTTTGCACTTGATTTTTTTTTTTTCATAAATAAAAAGATCTATATTTGTCGAGTTTTGTTCAAAAGTAGCTAAATCATTCATCTTTTCCTTTGAATTATCTTAAAACTTGGTCCTCTCAAGTCTTATTTGCATGATTTTTGCCCCATCTTCCTAGATTACATCATCGATTAAGAAAAACGTGATAGCAAAGAATATGTCTTATTTGCATGATTTTTGCCCCCTCTTCCTAGATTACATCATCGATTAAGAAAAACGTGGTAGCAAAGAATATACATTTTAACTGAGTGCAATTTCATGAATGTTTAATCAATGAACCATCATCAGCATCGCTTTCACCAATATGAGCTTCCATAGCTATAGTCGCTTCTATGAGGACCAAGAATCTGGGATATATATTTTATTTGGCTGACTGACTTTCTTTTATTAATTTATATGAGTTTTAGTTTAGAGCATCTCCTTTTTTATAAAAAATTTATAAAAATTAACATTTATGAAAATGGAGGAAAATTTAGGCTTTTTCTCCCCCGTACATAAAAAAACTCTATGTTTTGAGTTGGAAACTAAGAGGAAAATAGTGAAAAGAATTTCTAATTAAATATGGAAAAGGAATCTTCCTGGTAAATGGCATGGGAAAGGGTTTAGGGTGAAAGTCCAATTAGATTTTTTTCTGCCTCATGACTTGGTAGTCAGTCATGCCACGATGGAGGAAATCTATCCACAATTTTTTGAGTTGGCCTATAAATACATAACAATTTTATTCACTTTCTAAATTGTTTATATTTTGTTGCATAATATTTTTTTCCTTTCTTGCCTTATACTTGCCCTAAACTTGCTAAGTTTTGAGTTGGAAATCTATCTACAAAAATCTATGTTTTGAGTTGAAAAGGAAATATACAAACAAGTATTTTGCTTGTGACCGATGCGATTCCATACAAAAAAGTAAAGACAAATATCACAAGTCGGTTTTGATGTCAGTCAGTCATGATCACGAAAGAGAAATCTATATATAATTATAGCACGCCATCTGTATACACATTATATATGACATAAGTTCGTCTATAGATACATAGAAACCTCGATGCGTGACTGGTTTGAATTGAGATAGCAGCACCGTAAGTGAGATTCTTCTGACTCTGTAGTTTTTAGTGCTGCAGCCTAAGCCACGATGGAGGAAATCTATCCATCCACTATCTATCCACACAATGATGGCAGGCAATTATTGCATGTAAATAATGAGCCAACCCACAACTTTAATTACGAGTATTTATCAGAAAAACGAAGCTAATATCGACTTAGGCCTAATTTAATTACAACACTACACTAACGTATGTAGGTTTAGATTCAGATCTCACCTTTGTCTATAAATACTATATATATGTCTTGTTTTAGCTAGTTTTCCCAACTGGTTGAGCATTCATTGATCTGTTCTTTCTTTTATTGTCTAGATTGAGCAGTGGGGAGGAGAGATAGAGAGATGGCAGAACACCTTACTTTCGGTGTCCAGGAAATAGTGAAGAAAGTGGTTTCACTTGCCTCTGAAGAAATCAGTCTTGTATGGGGATTTGAAGGAGAGTTGACAAAGCTGCGTGAATCATTGCTGCTGACTGAAGCCATGTTACGAGATGCCGGGCAATCAAAAGATGTTCGGGCAGAAGCCGTGCAAATTTGGGTGAACAAGCTTGAAGACATAGCTCATGAGGCCGATGATGTGCTGGATGAATGCGGATATGAACTTCTCCGCCGTCAAGTGGAAGTGCGAAACCAAATGAAGAAAAAAGTGCTCAACTTCCTTTCACTCCACTACAATCCCATTTTATTTCGTCTCAAAATGGCACATAAGATTGAGAACATCAACTCTGCTTTGGAGAATTTGAATAACAAGGCAGCTAGCATTGGGCTTGTCAATAAGAAATTCTCAGATGCAACCTCCTCTCATGGGATTGCAGTTGACAGGGAAACTGTCTCCATCTTTAAACAAGATGAAAAGAACATTGTTGGAAGGGAGCAGAATGTGTCAGAGATAGTTACAACCTTGATCAACTCAAGCAAGACTCAAGAGAATGAAAATCTACCCGTGATGGCCATTGTGGGAATGGCCGGCTTGGGAAAAACAACTTTGGCTAAATCTGTATATCATCAAGATGAGATAGGCAGACGCTTCACTGAAAAAATATGGATATGTGTATCTATTCCTTTTGAGGTCAAGTCAATTTTAAGCAAGATCTTGGAACATCTTAAACCGGAAAAGGCTAGGATGCAAGACAAGGATGCAATAATAAAAAATCTTCAAGAAGATCTGAAAGGGAGAAGATATTTGCTGGTACTGGATGATGTGTGGAATGAAGATTCTGAAAAATGGAATGACTTGATGAGTTGTTTGTTAAGTGTTAAAGATGCCCAAGGAAGCAACATTCTTGTCACTACCCGGAGTGCGAGGGTTGCATCAATTTCAGAGACACTTTCTAGGTATGATTTGCAAAAATTATCAGATGATCAATGTTGGCTTATTTTGAAGGATAGATCATTTCCAAATGAGAGTGATCCTACTTTAAATCAAGATCAAGAGAGAATTGGAAGGGACATCGCCAAAAAGTGTGGAGGTATTCCATTAGTTGCAAAGGTATGTTCATCCATTTGGTGAATTTTTTGCTTGCTTTCTGCTTATTGTTATTTGCTTTCCACTGGACATCGATAATTTTGTTTGCTATATTAATTTTTAAAGGAAAATATTGTATAAGGAGTTCTTTCTATTTTGCATTACAATTAAAACGAATGATCGAACAGGGATTAGAAAGAAGAAGAAAAAAATCAGTATTGGCATATTTACCGGAAAAGAAAATGCTGGGGAATGTTGATTAGGTTCATGTTTGTGCTTGAAAAACGGCAGATACCATTTTATTTTCTATTTGTTATCAACATACTATAAATTTATTTGTTAATTTTCTTGAGGGTGGATTGTTTTTCTTATAAGAGATATGAGAAGGGGGTTTCGAATACAGTAACAGAGTAAATAAAATGCTTAAAACATATTGTTATTTTAGTTATTTTACGCTATTATATCATTTAATTGTGATTCAAACTCATATACCAACAGGTTTTGGGAAGTATGATGCGGTTCAAAGAAATTGATGGTTGGCGGGTAATTCAAGAAAGTACAATATGGGATTTACCTCAAGAAGAAAAAAGAATCTCATCGGTTTTGAAGTTGAGTTTTAATGAATTGACATCACCAACTTTGAAACAATGTTTTGCCTATTGCTCAATGTTCACCAAAGATTTTGAAATTGAAAAGGATGACTTGATTCAACTTTGGATGGCTCAAGGATTGCTTCACCCTTCTCCCAACAATAGTGATCTAGAGATGGAGGATGTGGGAAATCAATATTTCAATATTCTGTTGGAGAACTCTTTTTTTCAAGATGTTAGAATGGATTACTATTATGGCACTATTATTACCACATGCAAGATACACGATCTTGTGCATGATCTTGCAGAAGATGTATCAAAATCAAAGACCAAGGGATCCAATGAGATTCGACATGTGCCGCAGAATTCAACCATAGATCTACAAGAAATTCCAAAAGGAATTGTTCATAAAGTGCGCTCAATGTTTTTGAAATGTGAAGTTCTTGATAACATCTTACCAAGATTTAAAGGTTTGCGTGTCTTAAAATTACAAGAGTCTGATATTGATGAGTTGACAAATTCAATTGGAAAGCTGAAACACTTGAGGTATCTAGATATTTCAGCAACAAAGATCAAAAAGCTCCCCCAATCTATTGGCAAGCTTTATAACCTACAGACGTTAAGAATGCATGAACTCGAACTTGAAGAGTTTCCCAAGGAACTGCAAAATTTGATCAACTTGAGACATATTCATTTTGAGGATTGGCATGGAGATGGAAGATATCCAGTTGGCATGGGGCGGTTGAAAAATCTGCGATCATTATCCTTTTTCATTGTGGGTAAGGAGAGAGGTCGTGGAATAAAGGAGCTGGGTGGCTTAAAGCATTTGAAAGGCGAATTAT